AGAGAGCTTGCTTGAGTAGCCTTTTGATTTGTGAGGGAAGTGCATTAAGTAGAACTTTTCATGTACTTGTTCATGGATGTTTAAATTAATCAACCCCGCAACGCTGGTTCAAGCGCTTCACTCACAACATCATTTGCTTATGGAAATCAAAATTTTGCCCACCCACCCTCAACCTTAGATTATCATTCATTCTGGGTTTATCATTCATTTGTTTCCTCCTTGACCATCATTTGAGAAATTCACAACTGATTTTGTCTTGGATTGAGGGGGCCTACCAGCTTCATTTTCACCTCGGCACTTTCAGACCATCGGTGATACATTGACTCTAGGTGGCATTCATTACATTATTGCTTTAGGCTTTAGCTGTTGTTTTAAATTTGGGTTCCCTTTTTTATATCAAAAAAATGGAACACAAATTATGTCGATAAATATCTCTTGTATGTGATATAACGCATAATGTAATGAATGTCCACCTTGAACATATTGTTTTCTTGGTGTTGTTCTGCTTTTGCTTCCAACTCACTTGGCGATCCATGGTCTTTGAAAGTTGTAATGCGTCCGAAATGGCCATCTCCAACAGATTCTAGCCCTTGGAATCACATATTCAGCTGTCAGTTACGTCTCTAGCTGTTGCTTTCATTCTTCACCGCTTGTGATCTACATTGGGCTTTAATTTCATTCTGAAATCTCGATGGATCGGTCGAATCGATCCATAAAACTTGTGTTGCTGGAAAGGATGCAGAAACGGCATCCTGAAACAGATCAATCAACAGCACCGGAAAAGAGAGCTTGCTTGAGTAGCCTTTTGATTTGTGAGGGAAGTGCATTAAGTAGAACATTTTCTTTCGGGGAGTTATGGGCTCCGGCGGGTCGATTTTTGCTTGTTTTTGGTGCATTATAATTCCCCACTTTTTCAACCAGTTTGCAACCCCGTGTCTTATGGGTATGTATATCTGTGTTGTTGTTGGGGGGTTGTAGCTTGATCATGTTTGAACTGTACATTAACAGGACCCGCTGGTACCTCTAGTGCTTGTACAGTTTGTTGATCCGGTTCGCACCACGCTTAAAATGGTGAACCCCGCTGCTGCAGTCCACTGTGTTTGACGCATTAGCATACTATACAATGAAAGTTGAAGCAAAGGAAACCGGACTGTGAACATGATAAATTGTAAGTGTTTGCGGGTAACAGGAGTGCACGGCAGAATTTGTGTTGTGAAGGTGTTGTGCCATTGGGGACCTATATTGCGAGTACCGCGAAGGAGCATGCCAGACTACTGTGCAAGAACGTTCTGGCCTGAGAACATAGAGGCTACACGTATTGTGTTTCTCAGTGCTTCGCCGTTTGTGAATTCCGTCATGTTGGTGGAAACACAAAAAAAACAAATTGTGAAAATATGGTTGATGAACACGTGACCGTAGGGCAACTCAACCCAGTTGTACACCTTCGCTAGCGTCGTACCAGACAAAAACATTTTTTTAAGGAAAAAATCGTCATCGTTTTGTAATTTGAGGGGTCCCACGCCATGGGCAGACCATGGTACAGCCTGTGCAGGAAATGTGCGACAGCAATGTCATCAACAAATAAACACGAAAGATACAGTGTAGTGTAGTGTTTGCAGCAAAAAACGTTGCATAAAGTCTTCTTCCGTCAAACAATTTTTTAGTGACAAAACAAACGTGCACAAAAGGGAATCCCGAACCCGCTTAATTTCACAAATCCCGTGCCACAACAGAAGCAGAAACCTTGTACCTTACCTGCTGTTCATGCCTTCGCAAAACAAAAATCTTATTCTCGCAACGCTTAGAGGGGGGAACTTTTGAGTCAATGCTGTAGAAAAACGAAATCTGAACGCAGCACGGTCATGACTATGGGAGGAATTACGTTTCAAGAACGTAATGGTAAACATTGATTTAAAACAAAGTTGAAAAAAACGAATGGTGTCCCCGTAATTCCGGTTTTGCTCTGCCAAATGGAGTTCGTACCAAAATAGACCGCAACACATTGTGGTACACCACCTGGAGGGTTGGATTGAAGGATTCCAAGGTAAAGCAAACATATGTGAAAATTGGGACGGTCGTACCATGGTGGGCCGGTGTGAAAATTATTTTTCATTAAAAAGTGGTTCCACTTAAATTCGTGTTCACATCCAAATGCCACAATACAGATATTAACAGCAATGCTTTTGAAATCAACATGCAATTCCAAGGGGGGAAATCCAGAAAAAAACGGTTGTCAGCAAGTCCTAGCTGATCACTATTCAACTGCACGGAATGACGTATGGCCTTCCAAATTTATAGTATTTTGACACATCTGGAAGTAAAATCGTAAAAAATGTTTGCTCAACAGTTTGGTTCCGCGCGCTAAAATCCCAGTGCGGCAAGATTCAAACTTGCAGCGTAGACTCTGGAGAGCACGAGTGCTGAACAAATTCAACCAAAAAGTAAAACTAGAGTGCGGCCCTTAGAATTAAGATAATCCGGCTATGCGAGTTTTTGCGAAAACGTAAATATGTGCATCGCAACACAGCCTAGAATGCGGAGGCGAGGCCACTGAATTCAAACTGCAAGTTTCACAACGCAAATTCAGAAAACAAGGTACGACCCTGAAACGTTTGAAATAACGATGAAAAAATACCAACACCGTGGGCACATGGGCAACATTTGATGGAACGTTTTTTTTTGTGATTTGCACGTGTATAGCTTCGTACACAAAACATCATTGTATATATAAACGTTCATTACGGTACACCCTCCAAGTTTGGATTCCAGTGTTCAACGTTAAAGGTCGCACCTTACATTCTCAAGACTTGCAACAAAACCTTTGCCCGTAAAATATGCCCGTACTTTATTCTCAGTGGTGCAGAATTGCGGTCTCGGAAACATGAAGTCTTGATCAATAACGTGTCACACACAAAAATAAGGTGCGAAACCTACCTTTGAAAAAATTAAACCGCAGTCCCGGATATTTACCGTAGATCGTCAAACCCATTGGTTGCACGAAAAAGGTTTGTTTCAAAATAGCACTGGACAGCGAATTCTGTACGAAAATTTTATACCTCCTCTCAAGTTGATTTGGTATTGGAGGCCGTCAAAACGAATCAAAGCATATCGTGTCTAAAAAAATAAGATCACAGTGTTGGAAAAACTGGCCCTTGGAACCATGACCAAGGCTCGGCATTTGCTTTGAACCGTGATTTTTTTTGGCATGGCCCTAGTGCTGTGCGATATTCTTGTCTTGGTGCAAAATGAATATCATGGAAGAACATTTGAATTGCGACCCATGTAGATGTCAAAAAGTAGACGTAGAAAGTGCGACACCAATGCCATGGCATGACTAACAAAACTAAACAACACGGTTGGGATCGTGCTACCGTCGGTGTGCGGCGATGACAACGGAAGGAATGCGTGCAGTACAAACATTAAGTTGTGCAGGAGCAGAGGGTGTTGGTGTTGAAACTCATTGGGGGCGCTGTAGGCCGCAGATCCTTGAAAGCGTTTTCTTGTTGTCTCTTTGCCGAGGAATCCTGCGCATACGGGATTGTTGGATGTGCTATCATGTTTCTGTTTCACCCGTTATTGGCGCTTCAAAATTGATTAGAAGGTAAAGGGATCCGAATGGTACTTATTTGAATTTAATTTTTTGATGTTAATTAGCTACACAACAGCATTTGCTGGCCGCGCTTCATTGGCAACATCATCAATGATCAACTCCTGATGTTCATGGGTGCCAAGATATTGGGCCCAAAAAAAAAATCAAACCGGTAGTTGCCGTCGCGGATTTTGACACCCATTTTGATTTTGTGTGGGGGTTGGAACGCGAAAGTAGAGTATATGGCGATATTCACTTATGAAATTAAGCGCTTGAGCTTGAGCAGTACGAGCGCGCAACCGGACTTGAACAGTATGCCGGAGTGTCTTGTTTTCTTTGCGTTTTTGCCGACGGTAAGCGCTGTGGTAAACTCGACAGTTTTTCGGCCTTTTTGGGACCGAACCTTTAGCAATATTTTGACGTTTCATATGCCATGTCACGCCTCAATGAGGTAGACCGTGCGGACACGATCAATAACAAGTGCGGGAGAAACACGGATCTTACCAGCGCGAAAAACATATCAAATTATTAAAATTTTTGCGGGACAAAACGCGGCAATATGTCGAGAAGAAGGGGCGTGCAAGAGCGGGTTTCTGGCAGAGGAATTTGCAATTTTTTCTTTTCAGGGGTTGCTCCGGGGCCATCCGCCCAGTACAAAGTTTCAAGAATTCAAAATGAAAACATCAGTGAGGATGTTGAAAAAATATGACGATCTGGTTTTGACATGCGTCGTTCAAGCCCCTCAGGTTTACATGGAAGTGTGCACGCATTGTTTTACCACATGGGTGACAGTGATGTCGATTGTGATGAGTGTGCTTTTGATGGTGCCGCCCGAACGGTTGTGGATTCAGATGTTTGTGACAACAAGATGTGAGGAAATGCATGCCATACTGCTTGATAGCGGTGCAGATGCTTCCATATTTCCCCCCAGTTTAGCTGGGAAAAAAGGCGCTGCAGCAGGTGGTGCCATTGGAAAGCTTCACGGTGCTCAGGGTGTTGGGATTCGTACCCAGTCCATCCAGGACATGGAGATACGCCTTGGAGATCTTTCAGGTAGGAACATCTTGCTGCGAGAAAGGGTTGCAAGCCCAGGTAGAATCAACCAGCCAATTTGTATGTTTTGGACATTTGCGGGTATGCTGTGGTGTGTTCGGGGCACTGCGCCTTGGTGTGATCCGTTGCATTGCTGGACTTTGGTGGGTATCCTCAGTTTGGTCAGGTCGATCCGACAACCTGTATGGTCGTGGCGTTATTTGCACAACTGATCTGATTGCTAGCTTTGAATCCATGTCCCAGTGATGCGGCAATTACTTGGATTTAAACAGTGGTGCAATGTGTTGGTCTCAGTCGCGCCATTTGGGCCACTATCAGTGCTCGCGTGGGAAATTTGCCCCACATGCGGGTTTTAGCCATGATGCCAAGTGATTTGGTGCATTCGGCTATCACTGACCTGCGAATCGGACTCCTGGATGCTGACACAGGCCGTTCGGCATTAGATGATAATGGAAATCCTGCTATTCGGGCACGGAGCATGGCTGAGTCCGTTCAGGCTGGCTATTGCTTTCGCATTTGCAGGTCGGCGTTTGGTTTGCTTCACATTGATGTGTTGGACAAATTCTTTAATTCGAACTCTTGGCCCCCACCGCCTACTCCAACGCTTGCTGGGACGTCACCCATCGGCTCCGGGCTTCCAGCTAAGATCACGAAGGTCAAAGCGTCACCCATTCGTGACAAATTAGATGACGCTGAAATTGGCATTCTTGCCCAAAATGAGGTCGATGAAACATTTGCTGTGTATCGGGGAAGGATGGGTGCAGACCCAATGAGGGAAAAAAAACATGAACCCACGGCAGAACAAATCAGTGCCTTGAAAATGCGAATTGTGACACAATGCGGTTCTCTTTATGCTGACTTCAGTGTCCGGACGCCTTCTGGCAGAAGGACACAAAGTCCGAAATGCTTGGCCCCCCCCAACTTGAAAGTTGGGATGCGTGCTTCCAGATCTACAAATCAACACGGTTGATACCGAGGTATCCAGCGGCTCCAAGTTCTGATCGCAAGGATGCCGCCGAAGATCGTTGTCGAGCTGAACGCCTTGAACGTGCGCGGCGTCAACTGAATCGCGCATTGATTGAAGGAAGGTTGCCGATGAACCTTGATTCTACCCACAACAGCCATACATTCCGAGTTCTGGTCCTCAGAAGTGCTTCTGCCCGCGTAAAATTTCCTAGGTCTGCAGGCCAAACCCCACGAGCAATCCAAGCAGCAATCGACGCAGCCAATGCGTTGCGCACCGCCGGTTGGCAACCACCAGCATGGTCCGACCTCACGCAGCCAGTTCAACACCCTGTCCCCAACCCCATGGAGGAACCATTGGCAAGCCGAGGATGGCAAACACCAAGCAACAGCAGCCATCCACACTACCGGCCGCACAGAGCTTCTTGCCACCCTCGACCCGGCCAGCCAAGCTATGATCGAATCACAAACAGGGCCTTTTGCCAGCAAAGCTTGCACAACAATCCCATCAGGACCAGAGTTCGCATACCCTTCCGATCTGTTCCGGATCCTTCTGCTTCGTCGTCTCCGCCTTCCTCTTCCGCTGTCTGCTCGTTACTGCACGTGCCGTCGCACTCTCGATTCCTTCGGCGACCACCGTGCAGCATGCGCAACTTCGGGGGCTTTGAGAAGCCGACCAGGGCCTTTGGAACGGGCGGCAGCCCGAGAATGCAGAGAAGCAGGGGCCGGAGTGACCACCCATGTGCTGGTGTCCGACCTCAACCTCACCGGATCGACAACCGGAGGATTGAAGTCATCGCTCACGGGTTTCCGCTGCACAATGGGGCACAAGTTGGCAGTCGACACAACCATGGTGTCCCCCCTTACCTCCGGACAGCCCCGGCCCCAGGGATGCCAGCCAGGCTCACCGGCCTTGAGGGCAGCGCGCAAAGCAAAGGAGCGCACTTACCCTGAACTGGTTCGCGGCAACCGGTGTCGCCTCGTGGTTTTGGCCATAGAAGTTGGTGGAAAGTGGGGCCATGAAGCCGCTGAGTTCCTACGCTTGTTGGCCCAGGCTCGCAATCGGTCCGTTCCCTATGTTCTCCGAACAGCCGCCATCCAAGCATCCATCGCACGCTGGTCGGCCCACCCATGCGGCACAAGCGCCGTTTGCAGCCAGCCCCATCCTACAAGACCCAGCAAGCCAGAGCAGCACAGACGGCAACACGCCACCCCTGAGCACCCTCCTGCAACACCACCCTGGCAACCCACCCCCAACATCACGCCTCCGTATTCGACCTTGAGGGGGGCTCCCTTGGCTTTGGACTTATAGCCACCCCGGCAAACCCAAGTGGCCCGGCACTTGGTCAGCGGAAACTGGGAGTGTGACACCGGAAAGGCACCACACTTCACTGCGCGGTCAAAAAGGCGTGTGCGGAAAAAAAAATCTTGGCCAGAGGCGGAGCTGGCCGCAAGATGTCCAAAGAACATGCTGAGGATCATGACGTTCCAGCTGCTGCCAGAGAAACCATAGACAACAGAACCAAAAGAATGGTTCGGCTTCCCGGACAAGGCGAGCCCAGGCAAGCAAAACGAAGAAGGCGGGACCGTGAGCATAAAGATCCTGCAAGTTTTGGAGTACGGCCAGACAATCCAAAAAGTGACCTCTTCAGTTTCATCCAAGAAAGATGAATGGAATGTTTTTGACAGATCGAGAAGGCAATGAACTGTACCTGGCCAATGCCACAGGCGCCCCCGGCACTTGCGCCGAATTTTGCAAGAACCCCCGTATCCATGATTGGCAGCATTGCCTAGGCCAACATCCGAATAGCTTCTGTCCGAAGTTGGCTGACAAGAAAAAACAAGAGCAAGGGCGCAACCGCGGGGAAGTGACTATGTGAGCAGGACCAGCTAGCAGCCGAGGAGGCGATTTCGGTTGCTGCCTCAAGTGATGGAGGTCTGAGCTCTTGTATGCGTCATGAAGAATGTTCCGTTGTCCGGCAAAGCCACCCACTGTCATATGAATTTCTTCTTTACCTTGCGCTGCATACTCCATAGCAGTACTCAAGCCACCAAATCCTGCAAAAAAATCGCCAAACTTGTATGGTCTGGCTTGTGCGGTTTCCATAATTTCAATTTCGTGCGGATTTTTCCGCTGCCAAAGTTGCTTGTGAAAGTGTCTTGGATCATAGTTATTTCGCACCGCGCTGCCGCACCGTGACCAAGGCTCGAAGAACTGATGAGTTTGGCTCGGTCCGAGTTCTCCGCTCCGGGCAGCAGCCTGGGGGATGGGGCGATCCAGAGGCAGTGGAAGCAAATCGTATTGTCTCAAAGATGATCGTTTTGATTTTGTCCCTCCACAAACAAGGTGCTACATGGTCCGTGGAAAATGTTTGGTTATCGTATTTGTGGCACTTGCGAAGTATGGCAAAAGTCCTTGAATTAAGGAATGCTGAACTTATCCTTCTGCACCAATGCCCTTACGGTGCAGTCAGCCAAAATGCTACAGGTATCCTCACTACGGCAGTGTGAATGAAATGGGCGCGAGCCCTCTGCCATGAGGTTCGCAGCCACTACCATCCACAATGGCACGCGACAAGTCCAACCTGACAAGTTTGTTTTTCCAATGGCCTGTCACGACCCAAACCCTGGCATTCAACCATTTGACGCCAGAGTCAGAATTCAACCAGTGGGCGAGAGCTGTGCCCCGCAAAGATACTCGGCAGAAAGAGAAGGTCTCCAGACAGTGGATTTGCTGAGAGAAGTCCCAAGTTCGCCCAGCCAGACCTCCGGGCAGATTTGAGATCCAACCGTGAAGTCAGGGAAGCCGAGAACAAACTTGCTTTTGGAGGGCCTAGAAGCCCACATCATGCAGTGAAAAGGTCTACTAAGCTAAGATCTGTCGGACTTAAGCTTCGTCGCGTTGTTGAACCCTTGGTTGAAGACTCCTTGATAACTGGCGTGCTTGATGACATCACAAAAGGGGTGCCTGACTCTTGGGTGCTGCAGGTCCGTGAAGCTTTTGTTGCTGAATTTGAGGTTCCGCTCTCAGATGGCCCAGGTCTGCAGCAAGGCTTATGGTCACAGTTACTTTTTGAGGCTTCTGATCCAGAGGCTTCTTGCCTGTCATCATGGATTCGTGATGGCTTTCCTCTGGGAATCAGCGAAGAAATTCACAACACGGGCATTTTCCCAGCCACGGCAGAAAGTTCGCAGGCAATCGAACTCAGTCGACTAGAAGGGCATCTGGCTGATGATCAGGATGGGGCTGCTTGCAACTACCGCAGCTTTGACGAAGTGGTGGAGCATTCCCAAGATCTGCTTGATCAGCTTGTTGCTGCCGGCCGCGTCGACGTGTTTGACAGCTGGGAAGCAGTTATCTCCCGCTTTGGCAAAGATGCCAAAATCACCAAGATGGCACGTGTTGTCAAAACAAAAAAGACGGGCGAGATGAAATGCCGGATCGTCGTGGACAGTCGCCGCAGGCATCAATGGCCTCATGACAGTTCGAGAACGAGTGGTTTTACCTAAAATTTCTGACGCGATTAAAGAGACTGGCGCGATGAAATGCCGGATCGTCGTGGACAGTCGCCGCAGGCATCAATGGCCTCATGACAGTTCGAGAACGAGTGGTTTTACCTAAAATTTCTGACGTGATTAGCATAATTCACCACCTACTGGATGCAAACTCTGGTTGCGATCACGAGCTTGAACTGTATTCAGTCGACTTCAAGGATGCTTTCCACATGCTTCCTCTTCGCCGTGACGAGCGCCAGTTTGTCATTAGCAAAGGTGGCTATGGTCGTTACCGTATGAGCAGGGTAGTCCAATTTGGCCTTGCTCCTGGACCCCTTCTTTGTGCTAGGTTAGTTAGCGCCGCAATGAGAGCCTGTCAAAGTGCAATCCATGATTTTGAATGGTCTGTTGCGACTTATGTTGATGATCCCCTTATGGTCATTTCAGGGCGCACCGCTGTTGCGCGTTGCCGTGTTTTCTAGATTTACGTTGCGATCTGGTCATCGTTGGGTTTGAAGATTTCCTGGAAGAAGGCGTGCAGAGGCTTGTCTCTGCAATGGATCGGTTTTCAGTTACAACTCCATGGAAAACATAACTGCAACAGCGACTTTGGCAGAGTCCAAGCGGCGACGGTTGCTCGAAGCCTTTGGTCTGCGATGCTATTCAGCATGCCAGCGTGTAAATTCATATGCGGAAGCTTTCTTTGTTGTCGGGGCTGCACCTAGTGTCCATCTAACGTGGAAAGACATGAGTGGCTGCACTCAGTTCATGAAAGCTCGTGTCATGTTTCGATTTTGACCTTGTTTCGCTTTGGCCCAACGTGGGAAGAGGCCTTGTGCATGTTTGATAAAAACTTTGTGGAAGCGATGCCGGCATGTTTTGTAGAAACTGCACCAAAGCCATGTTTAGCTATGTGTCACTTCTGGAAGCCAGCCCAGAATGTTTCGCATGTTTCGCTTTGGCCCAACGTGGGAAAAGGCTTTGTGCATGTTTGATAGAAACTTTTTGGGGAGTGATGCTGGCATGTTTCGCATGTTTCGCTTTGGTCCAACGTGGGAAGAGGCCTTGTGCATGTTTGATAGAAACTTTGTGGAAGCGATGCCAGCATGTGTTTTGTAGAAACTGCATCCAAGCCATGTTCAGCTATGTGTCATTTGCACGCCATTTTTAGCTATGTTGCCACGTTGGTGCATGTCTCTCGCATTGCCGCCAGGTACTTCCCCAAGCGTCTTTACGCAAAGGAAGCGATGCTGGCATGTTTCGCTTTGGCCCAACGTGGGAAAAGGTTTTGTGCATGTTTGAGGCCTTGTGCATGTTTGATAGAACTTATTGGAAGCGATGCTGGCATGTTTCTTTGGCCCAACGTGGGCAGAGGCCTTGTGCATGTTTGATGGAAACCTTATTGGAAGCGATGCTGCCATGTTTCGCTTTGGCCCAACGTGGGAAGAGGCCTTGTGCATGTTTGATAGAAACTTTGTGGAAGCGATGCCGGCATGATTTGTAGAAACTGCATCCAAGCCATGTTCAGCTAAGCGTCACTTGCACGTCATATTTAGCTATGTTGCCTGTCTCTCGCATTGCCGCCAGGTACCTCCCCGAGCGTCTTTACGCAAGGACAATGCATCTGAGTTTAGCAGTGCTGGCTTGGACATACTGTCACAGAGTGTTTGTGTTGAACAGTGTGTTTGTCAACGCTTCACTAACTGTGTTTTTGATGGTTTTTCTCTGCTGTCAGGCGTTGGCCCAAGATGCTGGAGCCCACGGGCGACGTGCACGCCAGGCACTTAATTTTGGTAGACCACTTTCTTTGCTGCCAGAGTTGTTTCGATGTTTTGTGGCCTTTTCGATCCTGCAAACGCATTTGCATGTTGTATATTTCTCCGCAGGCTCAAACATATTCATTCCCTAACCTAATATCTATATTTGTGCATTAAGCGCACTTGTCGCCAGCCCATGGAATGGCAACAGATGCAGACCTCAGCGCAGCAAGAGGTCCGGTCTCTGATTGAAACCTTAGACAGAAGCTGCTCGACGCAGATTGGATTTTGACCAGGCCGAACTACGATCCATTTCTCTTCGTACTACAGTAGCTGTGCAGACCTACTATCGAGTGACGCTTCAGCGTGTGGACGCTTGCATTGATATCTTGAAGAACCTGCATACGGAACTCTGGCGCATGAATCATCTTCCTTTGGAACTCATACACCAATGCACCACTGGAGATGATGGTCAGCAATGCAACACTGGAGATGCTGGCACATTTCATCCCACCAATTGAATCGACGAGTCTCGATTTTGACCCAACGTGGGAAGAAACCGCGTGCGCCGCAGTTGACGTTGACGTTGGCGGTGAGTGGCAGAGTGGCTGCGTCAGCCATTCTGGCAGAGCGGCTAAGTGGCTGCGGCAGAGTCATCAATCAATGAAATGGATAAATTTTTGAAACATTTCAATATCCAAGCAAGATTATATATACCTAGAAGAACCCTTAGGCACTTTTTTCTGCCCTCGGCGCCTAGGCAGCCGCATAGGCACTGTCACCCGGAAGTTTGCAAAACTCGGCAGATTTATTTATATTGATGTATGATGTAGGCATTTTTGTCTCAAGATGTTTTTTGTGCTCCGACATCATTTTGTGCCTAGGCATTTTTACCCGGAAGTTAGGCGGAAAAACCCGGAATCTAGGCGGAAAAACCCGGAATCTAGGCGGAAAAAAGCGGAATTAGGCGGAATTTTGTTCGAAACATTTTTCTGCACTAAACAACATGACAAGACCATGCAAAAAATCATTTTTTTGGGGCCTATGCATTTATTCTGGGAATCGGCAGAAATAAACGCCTACAGGCAGGTTAGGCATTTTTTTCTGCCTAGAGGAGTTTGTAGGTATGATATTGACAGCAACTTGATTTACAATCATAGCCCTGTAAACTTCAACTGCCATAGCTACATAACTTTTCAACGGGTTGATTAAGAACAGCCACATACAGTATACGCTTTGAAGCATAACCTGACATCACTTAAAAGGAAAGAGAGTGGTGATGAACTCTACAAGTCCAGGATTGGAAACAGCTATTACATCAAAAACAGGGAAGAACCTCTTAAATACAAAGTGATTGATGGCATCGATGATGTGATGAGTTTAAAGGACCAAGAGGAATCCAGATTAGCTTCAAAAGGCAATGATTTGGACAAAGCAATTTATGAAATGAAAAGAGCAGGATATGAACCACAGGTTAGGCACACAGCAGGTAGGGCAGTAGAAACCAAGTTCGATTTAACACACAAGATAGGCAAGAAACAGAAAACGGTAACCTACAGCATTGTAACACAGCACCTTGACCATGATAGAATCAATGATGATATCTTGGTGGAAACAGAGGAAAAATACGACAAAGTCAGCACGACAATGTTCAAGTTCCAACAGTCAATTTTCAGTGAAAATCATAAGTCGTACTAAAACGAAACTGACCTTAAAGCATCGGATGAATGCAGAACCATTGTTCCTAATGGAAGGTTGTTGAAGGCAAAAGACTATGATAGCAAGGGCTATGAACTTGTCCTTGCCCCTGAAGATATGTGTAGCATCGACACACGGAAAGCTTTCTCATACCAAGCAACAAAGATTACACACATTCCAGTGTTCCAAGAGATCAGATTGAACGCGCAATGGCGGAAATTTTCACATCAGCCACTCAGCCACTCAGCCACTCTGGCAGAGTGGCTGACGCAGCCACTCAGCCACTCAGTCACTCAGAGTGGCTGAGTGGCTGAGTGGCTGCTCCAGCCACTCTGGCAGAGTGACTGAGTGGCTGAGTGGCTGCTCCAGCCACTCTGGCAGAGTGGCTGAGTGGCTGAGTGGTCTGGCAGAGTAACTGAGTGGCTGAGTGGCTGCTCCTCCAGCCACTCCGGCAGAGTGGCTGAGTGTCTGAGTGGCTGCTCCTCCAGCCTCTCCGGCAGAGTGGCTGAGTGGCTGAGTGGCTGCGTCGGCCACTCTGGCAGAGTGGCTGAGTGGCTGAGTGGCTCCTCCAGCCACTCCGGCAGAGTGGCTGAGTGGCTGAGTGGCTGCTCCTCCAGCCTCTCCGGGAGAGTGGCTGAGTGGCTGAGTGGCTGCGTCGGCCACTCTGGCAGAGTGGCTGAGTGGCTGCTCCAGCCACTCTGGCAGAGTGGCTGAGTGGCTGCATCAGCCACTCTGGCACAGCGGCTGAGTGGCTGAGTGGCTGCGGCAGAGTCATCAATCAATGATATGGACGGATAAAGTTTTAAACATTTCAATATCCAAGCAAGAGTATATATATATATATGACATTGACAGCAACTTGATTTACAAACATAACCCTGTAAACTTCAACTGCCATAGCTACATAACTTCAACGGATTGATTAAGAACAGCCACATATACACTTTGAACCATAACCTGAAATCACTTAAAAAGAAAGAGAGTGGTGATGAACTGTACAAGTTCAGGATTGGAAACAACTATTACAACGACTATTTGGTGAGCAAAGAATGGCTATGGTGTGCTGTAACCAGAGCAACAGATTTCAATAATGTATATTTTTCAAAAATGATACAGCCGACGAAGATATGTTCAAGAATTTGGTAGTTAACTATTTTAAAAACAAGGTTGAAGGTCACAAAGGACAAGACAGAAAAGGAGGAAGAGAAATAGTTGATGAATACATTGATGAACATGTTTGAAGATGTTCAAGGGTTGTTGTGCAAAGTGTGGAGTTAAATTTAATCTTGATACCAGAGGTGGCAAATTATCAAGTAACTTTACGGCGCAGAGAGGTGATAATGGACTGTGCCATTCTATTGACAACAGCGAGGCTTATTGTTGCCACTGCAATTCTTCTTCACATTAGATTTTTTCAAAATAATAAACTTAATAAAATATTGGTATGAGTAAGCAAGAAATCATAGGAAACATATATTTTTATAAAGCAGGTTTTGGTTCCAAAAACACTACTTTGAAGGATGCAAGAGAGAAAGACAAATCTATTACTATGAAAGATGT